TAAGTAATTTGATAAAGCTGTTATTGTCTTACTTAATTAATTTATCGTTGTAAAGCTGCTTAGTAGAGACTACTTCTCATTTAATAATTTTATTACACAGAAGAAAAAATGTCATTGAAATTATAGAAACAAGTGAATGGACCATCGGATTTTCTACGTAACGGCTCTCCTTTTGTAGGAGTACCAGCTAATGTTATAGTGATTCATTTTCAGTGAATGGCATCATGTGATGCGCCTTATACGAACCGTTCTCAAAGTGGTCTGGTTTGGGTTAATTGATTTTACAGTTTTGGACTTACTTAGTCACCATAATTACATGACCTAAATAGATAATACCTCTATTTCAGTTTTTTAAAATTCAGGTGAATTGTCCCATTGCCCCAAACAATTGTTACTTATGACTTAAATGCGCCTAATTGCCATGTAGTAGGTGTCTTATTTGGTCGGCTGACATTTTTCTGTTTGCGTTGACACTTCCCAAAAGTCGACACTAGCTTACATTTTAGATAGTGAGTTAATAGGTGTACACAGATTAATATTTGACATCCGTGGACGGGTCATCATGACATCATCTAGGATCTGAAATACTTGTGCGAAACTGATTTTCTTTACTAGTACTTAAGTAACAGGTATTTTTGTGCCCATTCAACTGTTCTTAATATCTGCTTGGCCTAATTGTTAAACTTTAGAGTAAGAGATTCTAGCTAGAAAGATAATAGCTGTCATAATATAACGATAATCAGAATCTAGACAACAAATCCAGGCTAAGGTGTACAGAATACCATGTGTTGTCAACGTAACCACTATTCTTAAATGTTTGTGATTCATAAATTGGGAAATGACTTTTTATCAGTAGACGAATGTGACCGATAAAGATAAAGCGTTTTTATGTACCAATTTAACACCAAACTACAGTTTTTGCTGCTTGTTTGTATTGTCCTGTTGGCTCCGATTTGGATTGGGACAGAAAGGCGAGAATTCGATGGTTTTAGTGTTATTACCATTTTGCATAATACCTACATACAAAGTTTCGGGTAATAACTTGCTTTTAATTACACGAATGTGTTTTAATTTCACAATAAATACTTAAACGGGTTTAAGATTGGATCAATCGGCACCATCAATGGTTTGTTAAATCACAAAAAGCGGCGCTAACTCATTTATGCCATCGTGAAATATGGTTGCAGTCACAAAAACTGTACCCCAAATATTCCATTGAATAATTTCTTAGAAGCGACCCTTTACTGGGAAACTTTTTTAGGAACTATGACAACAACTTGTGTGTGCGTGAACATTTTTTAGCTTTATTTCTTCCTGGTTAATGCTGATCTAAGACATTGTCATAGAAAAAGAATTAATTGATTTTCAGTGAATAACGCAGTAGGTTACATAATATTAATTAAGCAACTTTATATTGTGGGTATTATGGTAGAGTTATGTGAACTGGTACGAAGTTAAATAAGTAAAATATTCACTAGCTTTATACTAATAGATAAGTAGTACCTAACTCGATTTCCCATATTCGCTGACCTAGGAATGCTTATAACTTTCATAATCCTAATAAATAAGCTTTCCATTACTTACCTTTAACAGCGATTTCCAACAGCAAGTTCTCTAGTACACTGTTATTTGAACCATAAATATGTGAGATGTAATAAAAGTCATATTTTACAACACTATCTACTAGAGACTTTCCTTTTCATTGTCCGGAAAACACGTAAAATCTATGAGTTAACTTTTACATCAAAATTGGCATTGAATTCTTTTACAGATGGTTGATTAGTAGAAAACGCTCTTTAGGTATTTATTCCTTAAATAATATAATAAGTTCGTATAAAAACAATACCTACAAAACTGTATTTTATACGTACCTACTTCGTTTAGGTAAGTAAGAAATAGTAATAACATGTAGGAAGCTTTAGGGAAAACTATTGAAAATAAAGTATGTAATAAACCATATAGATTAATTTCGCTGGTTAGAACCTATTTAATAAACCTTTGTGTTAATAACGAGTGATGACAAATGGCCATTTATGGGAGGCAAATTAAATTAGCACATCTGCGTGTGTTTGACCATAACGCCTCGAATTTGAACTACTAATAAGTAGGGTAAATAAACGCCCTACGAGTAGTAGCTTTTTAAACAGTTGTAATAGGTATTGATTTATTCGATGGGGTCTAATTGATGGATTTTGGGATGACGCTATGGTTTATCTATATTTGTAGCTGATAACAATAACCCTGAAAATAGGAAGATGTTTCATGTGAGGAAGACATACAATTTTGTTACTCATACTTATAAGATTTAGTACTTGTTAATAAGCTTCTCTGCTAATACAGTAAGCAAGAAAAAATTTTGTTGATTGGTAGAGCAATCGTGAAATTAAACAAGAATGAAAGAAAAAATACGTTATGTACGAGTATTACAATCTCAATTGGTGATAAACCTTGGTGTCAATCTTTATGAGCTTATATCAAAAAGCGTCTGATATTTATAGTCCAGTATACTTTTATGTTGCAAGTCGACTAGCTAAATGTTAGGTACGTTAATATATTATTTAGCGCTTATAGACTTATAAGGGTGATTTTAGTACCAATTCGTCTTGACAATATAATGTATTAACGCAAAAGATCTCAGACTATTTTTTTAAAATCGAAATGGAAATTAACCAAATCGTTATACTCGCATCATCGTCATGATTTAATTAATTTATTATTGCAATCGGAATAAGTAATAATGTTTACAGACCTCTGGGTAAATACCTATATTATCGCAGTTATGGCCTGCCCACAGACACGCAAGCATTTTGTTTGTAAACAACGCTTAGATATGCAATTCTTGCAGTTACACTTGAGATACTCTTGAGTACCACTATGTAAATTAAGTTCCTTGGAAAACAATGCGGCAGGAAATTATTATCATAAAAGTAGGTACAGCTTAGTTTAGATTTAATTAAATGTTTATTTAAAACCAATGGTCTGACAGAAAGAGTTATGAGTTTGATGAGAGAAAAATAAGTTTGAATAACGTAGAGTTGATTAAAGCAAAATATATTACATGAAAATTATCTAGAGTCACGAAGCGTATTACAAACTAACATGATGAAGTATTTTTATCTACATGAAATCTAAGAAAAGGAGTAGAACTGGTAGAACTAAAACATCTGTGCTTAATTAACTAATTTGTATAATTACCTGATTTTCGAAAAAAAAAAACGAGTTGCCATAAAAAATATTGCGTAATACACAAACAGTATTATGAAATATTTTTATTGCTACTATTTATTACTTATATCTATCGGTTAAAATCCTCGTTCAACGCATGCGGACGTAGAAAGAAAGGCGAGACCTGTGTATGCCATGGGAAGTCGTTGCAACCACATTCCTGCAGCGAGGAGATTTATTTATAACCCCTTCGAATAGCGGCGCAGCTTCAGACCATAACAGTGAAGCCAAAGAAGAAAAAAGATTAGCAAACTAACACAGAATTAGTTTCTACGAGTAAAAGTGTACAATGTGCGGGACTATACCCAGCTCTTGTTCCAACCGCTGCAACTCTCTGTATAGCTAGGATATTATCAGCACTACCAGGACCTAGGTGGACCGACGGTCTGGTGAAGGTTGCGGGAGGTGCCTGGATGCGAGCGGCGCAGGACCGGTCTTTGTGGAAATCCTTGGGGGAGGCCTTTGTCCGGCAGAGGACGTCTTTCGGCTGAAACGATCTAACGAACAATAATTGTATCGAAGCGCTGGTACGTAGTTAGGGCCCAAAAGATAGAGAGATACGTAAAGAGTTGTTGATTATGCCAATAATTAGATATGCTAAATGGTAATATGTTAATGGTATTGTAGATTTGCAACAAATATTTCCAATATGAATAATTGATTCTTTACGATTCCATGAAACATCGTCATAGTCTAGGAGACATCTCAATTTAGATGTACACGTACGATGTACCTACTTGAGTTCATTAAACCAAATTAAAGGTAAGTACGATGTATCAATTAATTATCAATGTATGAAGATCAAAATATTTTGCAGTTTTTAAATGTGACTTCAATTCCAGTCTCTTATATATTTTTTAACTATCCGCAAAATTACGATCGATTAATAAGTATCATACGAGTACCTACCTAGATTAAGATTGTATTAACTTACTAAGGAATGGCGCTATAGATTTTAAGCTGCCGGTAGACCTGTTTTAATAAATGAATAACTGATTCTGGTGATAGACGATTGAATTAGTTGCATTAATTACTTTTTGGTAGTAAAAGAACGAGATTTTAATGTGTCCAATCATTTAATTGGATTGAACGGCTCAAATTCAAAGTTTATATGTCAAAGAATCCGATTTTAAATAAATATAGGTTCCTGTACTACCAGTGGCGTAGCGTGGTTTTTCGCCGCCCGGGGCCGTCCGGAAATCCGCCGCCCTTTATTTTAATTATAAATATTTTAAAGTTTAAATATTATATTGAATGGACTTCAGGTAGGTACACTATTCACCTTATTTGTTGAAAGTCAAAATAAACTACCACGCACTGCTTCAGAAGGAAAATACATTAAAGAGAAGCAATTGCTTGAAACCCACAGGAAGTCCAGTGTGCTTTTTGATTACATCTGTGCATACAGTTTGTTTCCTGTTCTCGAAAATTTCATAATCAGTTCACATTCAATGTTGCGACTTTGTTGCATATTTTAAGTATTTTGACGATCACCCGGCGATGATACGCAAGTACTACAACATTTCACTTCGCGATTAACGAGAGGTTTTGTCGCATCACTAGTTCACAGACTAAAAATATTTTTATGTCAGTTGGCCATATTTGATGACATTTCTGCTGATTTCTAAAAAATTAGACTGTAGGGGGCGCTGTTTAATTTTTNGGTTCCTGTACTACAAAACCTGCTATACCGGTGTTTCGATTGGCATAGAACTTGAAAATCAGCATAGCTTTATTGTGCGATATTTATACATAATGTCAGTCACAATACCACAGTCAGTATTTTGTTTTCATACTAATATGTTCTATTGAAAGTTTTCTGAACATTTTCTAATTTTGTTAATTAAGAAGTGATAAGGATCCATGCAAAATGAAAGGTAAGCTTACGATTTTAATTAATTAGGTAGTTTGTGTATTTAAAGAGTAAAGTTTGACATAAAATAACTTCGTAATTCCCCATTGATGTCTAAAGTATCTTAGAAAGTTATTAAAAAATATAAATCATACGTCTTCTCTATTATTGAATATTCAGTGATGGGTATATCAATTTTTCAAAACCTCTCACTTACAATGAGTCTACGTTCAGTAGAGTCACAATCAACATCGTTACTAATGGAAGATAATAGAAACTTACTTTAACCGGGGCGTTTAAAAGTAATTTAAAAAAAATATAAGCATGTCCATGTGTTACTTATGGTATAGGTAAGTGCAGTATAAGTGCTAGAAATGTAGAGCCATAGCCACGGGCTTTCATCATGCCAACAAGGGCTTATTAACCCTTTTACGGCGATGGAAATTTTCATGGAAAAGTCTTAATATCATAGATTTACGCTTTCTAACTAGACAGTTTACCTACACTCGTAATTGATGAGAAAGTTAATTAATGGACTAATGGGATAGACTACGCCGATTCCAATTTCTAAAGAAATTAAACGATTGAGTTATACATATTCACATGTTTGTGTTATTTAACATTAGATAAAGCAGGCGCCAGTGGTCACAGGTCAAGATAATTGACCTCACGTGGCTAGTTCAAAAACTAAGTTAAATTGTTATGATAAAACTGCATATTATTTCATTGTTAGATCATAAAAACAAACAACACCATAAAACCTGCCTATGTTAGGTTTTGGTTTTCTTTTGTCTTTAACTAATTTCCTATCTTAACGCAGTCCTTCCGATACTTAGCAACAAGATATTTGAAGCCATTGCTTTGTTTGTGAGCTTGACAGCTCGGAGTCATAAGGAAATGTACTAAGTGATTGATAGATGACAATAATTATCAGGACGCTTCATTGTTTGCTTACATCTGTAATAGTTCTCTGACGCAAAGCAGCCTCTCCTCCACACTTATCACAGAGCGCGACCCCCGCGAACTTAAGGCTTGGTATTTCTTCTAAAGTAGGTATTTCGCGCTGTCAAAATCTGCGCGCGCAATTCTTCGCCGAAAACAGCGCGTCAAAGAGCTCCCGCCACAATTTCCAGCTACACAGTATAGAAATACGCAGTTGGTTAGGTTAGGTTGACTTCCTTCCCTTCAAGCGTCACACTCACAATTCGAAAGGGTAATTTGACGGTGTTTGGGGAATTCTAGGAATAAATACAGAGTCTCCTCATTGAGATTGAGACATTTCAATTTGAGATTTCACTTGACATTGAACACAATCTGAAATGGATTTTTCAAACACTTGTAAAAATAAAAAGTAATTAAATCAAAGGCACTAAGTAGTATTGATATCAACTTCGAAGAAAATGACTGCCAAAATTACTTTCTACCCGTTCCACACGTCTTTCATGAATTATATTAAGGTATTGTTAAACTAAATTTCAAGTAGATTGAACCAAGGAATCACTTTGTCCCATACAAACTTTGCCCCCTTTTTTCACCCCCTTCATTTCATGACCCCATTTCGGAAAATCTTTTCTTATGAGATGCCTACGTCATAAAAAGAACACACCTTCCAACTTTCAGGTCTCTACGATATCCGTCAGTCATTTAGGACAAAGCATTTTTATTAGTTGTTCAAAACTCTATCGTTCCAGGTATGTCATTGACAGGAGGGCGCTACTATCTTAATGGGTTATTCATTAGTCCACTTGACATTTCAGAATCGTTTGACTTTAGATACCTAAGCGATTTGATATTCGGAGTCTTTTAATGAAATCAAGTTCTGAAATAACTTGAGGTGTTGTACCCGATCAAGCTTTTCATTGCATGTTTTCTTTTTCTTTTCTGTGCTGTTAGTAACATTCTTATTAAATAAATATTAGTTACTCTTTTACTCATTTAGTTTAATGAATTTGTCCGTAATCAGGTGTTAACATAAGTATCTAATATGGCCTACCATGCTGAAATAAGGCCTAGGCCTTATTAGATATCTCGCTCTTGTTGTCTTTAAAAATTTACAAATAATGCATCTATAGCCAGTAGTACAAATTAAGGTAATTATTAGCTAGTAAGAAACATTTAGAAACGATTACCAAGAAAAGCTTAATCTAAAACAGCGTCATTTTACCGAAAATTTATGATGAAATCGCCAGATTTTTATAAGACAGCACGAAATCACCCACCACCTTAGAAGAACGCGTGCCAATTGGTGCTGGGATCGTGGATCGGGACGATCTTGCACTCTACCGGGTTATAGGGCATATGAGTACGTGTCCTTGAAGTATTATCCCGGTTGGATTTATTTATGTGTGTTTTCTGATGCATAGGCCTTATTAGAACGTAGGCCTTATTTGTATCAAGTACCTTATTATAAAAATAACATTTTCAATTTTTAACAGTTTTTGTAACGACTGCCATCATTATGATTTTACCTTTTATTTTCTAAGCGGTTTAGGAAACACTTACACACAACTTTTACACTTAATCAACCTTTTACATTAAGGGCTGATTTTTCAATCATCGGATAACTTTTAACTGAAGAATAAGTTTGACACATTGACAGTTTCAGTATGGGAAATATGTCAAAATGACAAGCTTGTTCTTCAGTTAAATAATATCTGACGATTGAAAAATCAGCCCTAAGTCCAGTAGAATTAGCTTTTAAATCGGAAATAATTCCTACAAAAGATTTTATTGCTTTAATGGCTTCATTGGTTGCCCATTAAGACTCTCCTAAGTTTCGACTTCGACGGAGTTGTGCTTAAGTGGTGGGGGCCCCCGAAAGGGGCGCTTTTTCGGTTTTCCAGTTATACCGCGTAAAGGACTTACCCTATCGAAAAGTGGCAAACCCTATCAAGGCATACGAGCTGGATTCGCCGATCCTTGTTCGTCCCAGCCGTTCCTTAACTGCGGTTGCTGCACCTCTTCCTGGCACTCACCTGAACGACTCTGTGTTACCTACTGTGGCTGCCCCTCTTCCTTGTATCCTCCTGCATGACTACGTTGCCTAGCCGTATGCCTGGTCTAAGATTTGACGCCAAAAATCAACAACAACAAGTTCATATTAAAACGCTGAAGAGTTTTTTGATTGTTTGTTTGAACGCGCTAATCTCAAGAATTACTAGTTTGATTGAAATAATAATTTTTGTGTTGAATAGCTCATAAATTGAGGAAGGCTATAGGATATATACAATCACTCTACGACTAATAGAGCCGAAGCAGTAAAGAAAAATGTTGCAAGCACGGAAAATAGTATTTAAACTATTTTCACGCGTGCGAAGTTGATTTTGTGGCGTCGAACCTTGGACCAGGCATACGGCTAGGCAACGTAGTCGTGCAGGAGGCTGCAAGGAAGAGGGACAGCCACAGTAGGTAACACAGGGTCGTTCAGGAGAGTGCAAGGAAGAGGTGCACCAACCGCAGTTAAGGAACGGCTGGGACGCCACGGAATCCATGAAAAATCAATAGAACTGAAACACCCACGTTCTATTGATAACTATGTCAATATTTTTCACTCGACATTGGCAGAAATAAACCTCCCAGAGAGGTTTGGTTGCCACAAATAAAAAAAAAAAAAATGAATCGAAAGACCTTAACTATACGCTTAAATAGTTTTTCTTATAAGACTAGCGCTTAACTTAGCCAGTACCTGAGGTACGGTAGCGGCACGAGAGGGGTGATATAGACATATTATGACGTGCAAAAGCATACAAATCTGAAGTCTCGCTGATGTTTGACGTCTTAAAAACACTCTCCCGTGTCGCTATAATCGCAAAGCAGTCGAAAAGTGGTCGAAAAGCCCCTTTTTTGTATGGAGTTTTGACGGATTCGATTTTCGATTCGATCAAAAAGTGCGTTTTGTCTAGGGGGGCAGGCACTGTCTGATAAACGCCTAGACCTATAATTTTAAGATTAGGCTTCACATAGCAGAAATGACCACCAGGTTTATGTAGGTAGACCACATTCGATGTTGTTTTAGTAATATCACCCATTATTAGTAACAATATATGTAGACGAATGATTATCAGACAAGCAAACGTCGCTAATGGTCGTTCTAGATGAATCTTTATTTCCGTTTCTAGCTGCTAGCTTGTTTGTTGCAGATATCCCAGAAGACGCGCCTCAGCTCCAGCACCGTTTATACTTAAGCCACTCACGTTCAAAATCAGGTCAGTCTAGCCAGTGTCAGGAATCAGGACCTTCTTACCAGGACCTAACAACCTACTTGCTTTAAAAGCCACAAATACTGGACAAAAACTACAAACGAACTAAATATTGACGGATATCTATAGAGTGGTTTGATAAGAAGTTAATAGTCGTAGAGTAACTAGGGTTTTGATCTCATATTGCTCCCAATAAGTTGCAAAAAATAATAATAAAAATGATATTACACAGCAAAAGCTTTGCGAAGCTCTATGTTTGCGCAATTGATAAGTTATCACGCCGCGATAACGGCTATCAAAATATTTTGTGAATGTGCCCACAACCAAAAGATAAAAATACGCACTTTTTGTATTTTAATAACGTGTAGCCAACTTTATTAATTTACTCAGCAACTATTTTTCAGGGAGGAAATTCAGAATACTCAACTTTTTGCTTCGCGAACGCACTTTTACTGTCGTGAATGTTGGCTTTTATATTTAAATTATATTTAAGTAGTTTTAAACTTTATTTTAAGTAAGGTACTGAAACTTCAGTTCTGTTTGGTTTGTTATTTGACCAAAATAGCATTTTGCAATAACTTATTTACTACTGACTAGAAATGAATTATGGCTGACGTTCGTAGTCGTAGTAATATTTGCATAATATTGTGCGTATCTTTATTATCATGAGTAGATGCATGACGCAGTTAGAATGTTGTAGTGACACAGGTTCTAAAGATTTGTGCCTCAATAAAAAACACACACACATAATAAGTATTTATTATTTCATCGTTCGTTCGTTTTAGCCAAATGACGTCCACAGCTGGACAAAGGCCTGCCCCAAGGATTTCCATAACAACCGGTACTGTGCTGCTCGCATCCAGGTTCTTTCAGCGACCTTCACCAGACCGTCGGTCCACCTAGTGGGGGGCCTGCCCACGCTACTGTTTCCGGTCCTATTTCTCATAATATTTAATTGAACTATACCTTATAATTAGGCCCCTGAAAATGGCTGAAAAAGACACTGAAGTAAGAATCTACGATCTAGAATAAATCTAAGCATCTGTTACCGATGTTAGAAGTTTTTTTACTGAAATGGTCGCTGCTTCTAAATCACTTTCAAATCAATTCGTCGCCGTCTCGATGCGTCGATGCAGTCGATTTTGACGTCCTGGAATATAAAATCAACTTCGTGGGAGCCGCGTGATCTCATTGCTATACATTTATGTACCCTGCTATGTATTCCACGAGAGTAGGTAAGAATAAGTAAATAATAATAAGTAAGTGGTTACAAAGATGCAGGATAATATACGGCTAATTTGTGTAAGTTGTTCTTAAGTAACTTCATGAAATCTAGCATTTAAAATAGATCCAAACTTTTATAGCATCAGAAATGACTCTACATTCGATAAGCATGCAAAACTCGTATTGACATGATAATTGGGTAGCAACAGCAACGGAGATAATATTTTGGGTTCGTTAGGTTTTATATTAGTATACCTAATAACTTCGGCCCAGTTTTTTGATTCATAGTTAAAATAACAAATTGTTAAATTTTGCGACTAATGGTTAAATATTAACAAAATGTTAACTAATAGTTAAAAAAAATGTACTTAAAGTCAAGCTAACCATTGTTCGAAAAACATTTTTTCCTAACATTTAACCACTTGTCATTTGACATCTGTCAAATTTAACTATTGGTTATTTTAACTACGAATCAAAAAACCGGGCCTAAATAAGCAACTGATTATTAAAATTATTTGTGCAAATGTTGTGTAGGGTGGTATTCAATATTTGTCACAGATTCCCTTCTGCGATTAAGACAAATAGGTATTTAAATTCAACCAAGCAAAAGCTGTAATCAATGCTTGAGATTTACTATTAATCAAGCTTTGAACATTCTGTAATACGATCTTGCAGTCTTTGGACAACTTTCCCATGAAGTAATTTCGTATGCTGGCCGGTATACATATGTATGTATATATATACGATATCGTATACCTATCACCCGTTATCACAGCACGTGGTTAGCGCAGTAGGTACACGGGTCATGCGGTCGACGATCCATGCAATCAATTGTTTGTTAACACTGCGCTCGCACCGATCGTTATGCGGTTCCACTTATGTAAACGAATGAGACAGGAATAACGATTTATGGTGCGATTCCAATCTCTATCTCAAACATGACATGTATAGCAAAGATCTAGCTTGTTCGTGACTGAAAGTTAAGCAGTTAACTTAAATGTTATAACAGTTAACGGTAACATAAAGTTGGGTTCTTACCATGTTCGCACCTAAAGTTCTGTAACTATTTTAGTAGACAGTAACTGGATCTCAAAGGAGACGTTCCTTACGCTCATTGCTATGTGAAACACGCAAGTTTCACTCTATGATCCCATAAGAACCGCTATCTGCTTTGACATGCCCGAGCAACTAGGCGCCCTTGCAAAAGTATCATAAATTACCTACCCTAATACATTCCTAATGATCAACAATATTTAAGTTCGTTTGTGTGATCCCTTCCCCCATTTATAAACATAAATATGATAAGATTTTAGTATAAACTTAAGCATGGTCGATAAAACAGACGCCTTTAAATATTAATATTGTAAAGTCACCTTCAGCAAAAGGTGCCCTGGAAATTTCCACTGATGAAACAAAAAATATACAACCTGTACAAATAGATAGAATAATCAACCACCTGTCTGACATTCGTAGTCTCTAGCCGGATGAAACTAGTTTCAAATTTGGGTATTTAAATAAATTGGTAGGCATTGAAAATGTTAAAGTTTTTGACCAAGTTCGATTTCTTGACCTCTCCTACCAGGTGCATTAAAGTCTACTACCTACCTAAGTTTATGTATAAATCACAAATTATGGAAAAGTTGACATTAAACATCAGTTGGGACTTGGGAAGCTTTTGTTAAACTTTCTTCAACTAAAGTTTATATTATGGTTTCATCATCATTCAAGTGTTTTCTGAATTGTTAAGCGTTTTAAAAAATATCTTTTCAAGTCTTTATAAAAATATCAAATATGTAGCAATCTATATCAAAATTTGAAATAGCTTACGTTAACAATGTGGTTTCCAAGATAAATGGGCAATGTTTTGTCAATTTTGATATCAATGTTTAGAAAATCCGACCTATTCTGTAAAAGTTGAATTGCGTCATTCTCCTTAACGATGATATTGTTTTAAATTGTTTGTTTAAACAGATGTATTTAGTTTATTATTCATGATTCCGCACGTGATCTATACATAAATGTATCTGCAATAAGTACGACGTAGCCAGTTTTACCTGATTTAAATCAGCATTTTGGAACTACATAATAAATATAGGTAGGTAGTCTTCATTTAAATGACTGTTGCACAACATTGCGACATTGCAGAACGTTGACCTTAATTAAAAAAAAGCCTAGAACCTTTTCACCTTATTTTCTCGTTAGTTTTTATAACTTGACATAAATATTTTTCATAGTTAATAGATGTTATTATATTTGCAACTTAATTACGTTTATTGTATAAATTACAATAAGTAGTTTGGATATGTATTTATTGTACTAAACTCGGAGTTAAGATTTTTTTGTAGCTAACGTATCGTGTACTTTCGTGGCGAGCAGAATAGAATATGTATGAAACACGGATCAGTTTAAGTATGATCGAACTCTACGCTACTTCTATACACTCGTCGCACAAGTGAATTATGCGTTGAAGTAAGATATTTGTGTAACCTTTCCTGAAACAAAACATTCGTTTGTCGATAGATCGTTGCACATGTGAAATACCTTATCACATAACATTAACTTTGCTTTACTAATTTTGTGTAAACCTTTCCTGAAACAAAATATTTGTCTACAGAACCAACGATGGTGGTGCGAGTAGCGACCGACGAGCGGCCGTTCGAGACGCCGTCGTCAGATGAGAGCGGTATGGGCCGGAGTGACTCGCCCAGCGACGACGTCGAACCTGAGGCTGCACTGGTCAGTACATACACCTAATACATTATCATCATCATCATCAACAGCCCTTTACGGCCCACTGCTGGGCTATCTCCAATCCGTCTGCTAAGCGTGGAGATTATGGCATAACCCTCCACTAAAGTAGAGGAGGCTCATACCTAATACAATCCCTAGAATAATATTTGTCCAGTACACATATCATCAAAAGGAAAGCGTTCTCAGGTAGGCTCGGTCAATATGGACGTCATTGGGGGAGGCTGCTGAACATAGGAGCAGTGACGTCTTATGAGTGAAATGATGATGATGATGACATGTCATCATCATCCATTGAATAAACTTGTCATAATTGGCATATTTTATACTTCATAGCTTTCCGCCCGCGGCTTCGCCCTTTCGTTTGTTAAATTTTCCTGAATTTTCTTTGCTATAAACCTCACGGAGCCCGAGACCTTTCCAACGAATGAATGCAAAAACCGTGGAAATCGGTTTGTGCGTTCTGGAGTTATAGCGTCAGGAAGGAAAACACGACTTATTTTTATATAGTAGATATGGGCAGGACCTGAAAAGGCCTTTTTCAGACCCCGTCAAGCCGCCTTGCAAGGAATTNACATACAATCCCAAGTTTTATAAAAGTTTGATAAAACTTGGGAGTTGATCGAAAAAACCGAAAACTTTATTAAATTTTCGTGCCAAATGTCAATGTCAGTAAGTAAAACGTCACAGCTGCCAATTTTTTGTTTTTTTTTTCTGCGATTTGTCTATGATTTTACATGGTCCATCAAGTTAAATCACCAAAAAAGCTGTTTTCGTTCATTCTTTTTGTATAGTCTGTGGAAAGAAAATATTAAACTCTGTTTTAGCTATCAAAGGTTTATAAACGATTATGAATAACGTTTTTTATCAGAGGTTTATAAGAGTGTTTTAAGCCTATCAAACGTTTTAGCTAATGTAGGTTTTAAACCTATATTAGCATTTTATTATGAATAAGACCGATAACCCATAAAAATGATTACCTAAGTAAGTAGGTAATAATTTGCGTGCAAGTGTCAATTGCATACCGTTTTTTCAGGCACCATTGACGCGCGTTTCATGCAATATAAACGCGTTGTAAACGTCACATAACTCCGTAAAATAATATAATGTAAAAATTTGCATCATGTCAAGAAAACTTTCATTCACCTTATACCTCTTTAAACCTATGACCTGCCTGTTGAAAACGACATGCACAGCGCCTTTTTTCAGGTGCCGTCGACGCGCGTTTCATGACTCGATCTTATTATGTGTTATATTATGTAACTACGAGTATGTAGCAAAGATCAAAAGACCGAAGATTCCTCTCTTTTAGAATCAAAAACACCAATTTTTAGAGGTCTGCATCACAATTTTACGGTTCATAGAGTTGATAATAAAAGTATCATACAACATTAACCAACACGAACACGTAATAAACGGCAACGTTATATCACAGGCGGTCTTATCGCTAGAAAGCAAACTCCGAACAATCCAGGGATAGGCAGTTGTTACTTAGTTAAAGTTACTGAAATATCAAAGACTGCATACTAACCTACTTTAAGATTTGATTTTTAACCGATAAGTTATCAAAAATAGCCTTTTACGATTAAAGGACACACTCTACATACCTAATTGCTTTATCAAATTTTATCTTATTTTGACACGCCTCCCTCGAGTCAAAGGTTATTGATATAGGCACGATAGAGGGGTTATGAATAAACACAAGCTAATATTGGTGTAATAATCTCGGACGTCTTACAAAAACTACAGATAACACTGAACTTGAGGTCAGCTTTTGTGATTATTCAGTCACGCTGACATAAACAGTCATTTGTTTCTATTGCAAGCGGCACACGGACTGGGTAGATTACCAATTAATACTGGAAAATAACCAGCCGTATTGATTGGAAATTACTATTAGTTAGGTAGGCAAGTACGTTTTTGTGAAACATCCGTGAAAAATTAATACACCATGATTTTAATTGAAAAAAATCTATTAAAACTCTCCTATAACTTCTACTACGTTAAATGGTGATAAATAAATGACTTAGTACTAATGTTCTAATTAAAGTAATAATAATCGATAACGGATGTCAAGTATTAAGTTTAAATGGCACTTAAGTGTACCCTGCAGGTGAAAACATGCAATACCGGGCTATTACCAGTCCGTTTCTAGATCTGTAATATTACTGGAATTCTAGGCGGTCCTTTCCTTTTCCAAATGCATGTATAAGAGCCGACTACATCTTATTTAATTCATCATACCATAATAAGATGTCAATTGCAACCATGCAGTAATCGTGCAATTACTTACCTACCTACTCTTCTTGTCTTGATTGCTAAACCTGAGAATGTTAGCAACTTTATATCGATGGACGTGATGATTACCATCTATCTATGGTTCACGAAAAAACTATAGAGAACCTTTTTACAGGAAATCAAAAAAGTTATGAAAATAAAATAAAAACAAAACATTCGCAAATGTGACATTTGGATTGGCAAACGCGTGAAAAATCAACATGGCTAATAGATTTTAGTAAAAGTCCCGAATAAATGGGGCAAAGCCACATGTCGCCATGTATTTGCTATGTCATTTCTACAATACATTGACACATTCTTATTATTTATAGTATGCCTTCATATAAGCACAGTGATACTAAACTTTGAGAAAGTCAACTGGGGTAAGCCAGCCAGGATTCAAACGGACAAAATCGAAATAAAATCAGAATGTGTGTCGGCGTGTAGTTGCGATGCCCCGAAATATCAATCATATTAACACCATAAACATGGCCAATACAGTGAACTGACAAGCCAAGAAGGCACTGGATTCCTCATCTCCACCTCGCATCAGTAAAAAATAGGAACAGCAACTGGTAACCCCAGAAGATTTACAGCAAAGGGAGTCTACAAAAATGACAGCACTTGAAAAGAAATTAAGAAGGAGGAGGATCATACGTAAGGTAGCAGAGAGAGTGATCAACGTATGCTTGCTGGCGACAATTTCGTTGGCCTTTGCTGAGATTTCTTTGACTATGTTGCTTCTTTTGCTGTGAGTACAAAATAAGAGAGCAAAATGTCGTTCAGCAAAGCGTGGCAGAAGAGGAAAGACATTTTGAATCGAGCGGCTGATTTCCTCACCGATTTCCTGGCATGGACCTTACCCATACTCGGAATATACCTCTTGATTATTTACTGAAAACCGTTCAGAATACCTATTATGTATCGTTTAACTCATTGAAATATAACAATAGTTTTCAGTTACGAAATATGGTTTTCTTTACTCAAATGCGTAATATTGGTTCAACTAAAGCTAGTAGTCCAAGAAAGATGTTATCGATAGCATCGTGTTTACTTGAATCGTCAAGGGTGGCTTCATGTTGGCACAGTTAACTTAATGAATAGGGGCTATTTCACACCTGCCTATTATTACTACCTATAATAAGGTATTCGTTATTTTGATAAGTTAGTTTTGATTAGAAACCAACTGTATATTTCTCTTTCCTTATCATGTTTAGATATGAAATATGTGTTGTATATTTTCCAACTGTTATCATCAATTAACATTGAACTTCAACTTTGTGCTCTCTCTGTGATTGATTGCGAGGTTTTACAGTTCTTTGCTTGGACAAACCATTCTTAGCGCACCAGATTGGCAATAGAACAGTTTAAATATAAGCTATAATATTAGTAGGACAATGATCTCCTGTGAATAGGCCTTTATCTTTTTTACTCGATAGTAACACCATTGATGCTTTCATCGCCGCCTCTCGTCGCGACGCCACCTCTCGCCGACGGGTGACCTTGTGGCTTGTCCATCCAATTCCCTCGCTTTGGGGACATTTAGATAATTGCTGTCTCGGATTTTCTAGAAGCTCCACCTTAGACCGGTTTCTCGCAATTTGTAAATGATCTATTTGTTTATTACAGTCACATATTTTTGGAAAATGTGCTACGGTAACTAGGCTAATTTTGAAATCAGTATCATAGTAGCACAAAGGTAGAGCCTAGAGTAAAGGAGACTCATCACATTTCCAACTTTGTAAGGAATTTTTATTTTTATAGAGAACAATAGTGTCTAGACAAACCTAAAAAGGATTTAGGACGCTATTTGGATCAAATATGTAATTGCTCAATAATGAATAATAAATAAATAAATAAATAAATAAATAAATAAATAAATAAATAAATAAATAAATTCTGCAAGGCGTTTAAGATCGCAGTCTCCAAAAGATAAACTGAGTAGAATAAATCATAAATAAAAGAAAAAAAACATAGAAACTCGTGCAAAGAAACTATCATTCATGAAAGTCCTCTGAAAATTGAAACGTCAACAAAGTTTCCTGTCATTTATGCTGTTTACAAGTTTGTTTATTTTTATTTCTTTTTAATTAAAGTTATTGTATTTGATAACTTATTGAAAACTAGTTTCAATTATGGATAAATGTGTGATTGTATCAAATGTCGAATGCGCTGGGGATGCAAAAACATCAAACGTAGACTGTGTAATGAATGTTTTTTTACTTATAGTTTTATCAATTAATTTTACTTACTATAATTTAGAAATAATTAGTAAGGCAAAGAAAAAATGTTTTCGTGGATCCTACAAGGTCAAAATAAATTACAACGATATCTACTTGAAGATTTGGTCTGTTGACCACAAGAAAAGTGTTATACCTATTTGCCGGTTTAACTACGTCACAAGTTATTAACGTGGTTGATTTCCCGTGAGTCTTTATAAAAAACATGTGCTTTATACCTACAGTCAGTCTAAGATACCCACATAAATAACATGTAAAATACTTACAATATTATCTAAGTTACTATTTTAAGTCTCTCATCTATCTACATTCATTTGTAAGCTGAAGAAACAAATTATGTGAAGCCATATTACCTGAAAACATAGAGACTAAGTGCCAGTCTTCGTTCCACATTCCTTAGTTGGTTATTATGAAATATTATAATGTCTCATCATCATCATCATTTCAGCCATAGGACGTCCATGGCTGAACATAGGCCTCCCCCAATGATTTCCACAATGGCCGGTTGGTGGCAGCCTACAGCGCCTGGCGGCCTCCAGTCCAAAACCTTGCTGCCCAATATTAATGTATTATTCTTGTTTTCAACAGGTGGTGCCACCAGACGGCGGTTGGGGCTGGGTGGTCGTGGTCGCGTCCTTCATGTGCAACTTTATGGTGGACGGCATCATATTCTCAGGAGGAATGCTCAAAAACTCAATTAGGGATGAATTTAAAGTAAGTTATTTTTTAAATAGTTACTTATTAAGTAATATTAATTACTTTGACGATCGTAGAGTCGCCGACACGGTTCCAAGCATTTTTTTTAGGTAACTGGCAGTTTTCTTCATTTTATACCACGTTTTTTTCCACGATTCTAGATACCTACTTATCCATAAACAATCGATGGAAGGTCAATCTCCTGACACAATTGAAAGATCCACCAAACCACCCGTTTGGCCGACTTGGCTAACGTATTGTGTGAAACGTAGCACTAAAGTAACCCAGATCTTGCAATATAGAATAATATCTCAGTTTTGTTACATGGTGCTGCTAGTAAAGTCTGTTCCTTTTTAGAATAACAAAAAATATTGCAAACAAATGACTTTTCATGGAAACATCCGAAAAATCTGATGTAATCCAATTAAGATTAAAGGTATACCTAGTTTTCATGGCATTCCAAGTAAGTATGCTTGTTTTTCATCAAACGCGGCAAGTATGTCTGCATTCTAAGGTGCCATAAGTTTGCCACGAACGGCTCTCGCGCAATCTATTTTTAACGTCACAATCGCTACCACACCCTCGGACTGCGTAAAGGCACGCGTCACACTCGACTCTGTTAAAACATAGTTTCCCATATGACGTGACCAGCTAACCTGACCTCTGCCTTCTAATTACAATACCTGTTTTTCGTCGCTAATTCAAAACTTAAGACAGGAAAGGAAGCTCTCACGTGATCAGGCGCGATTTGCGTCAGTCGATTCAGCGAAATTGAAAGGTTCCGCGGGTTTTTTCGCTGTCTTACTGCCTCTAAATAACACATTGACAATCGTGGTTTATCTTATTTACAGTAAGGACTGATATTTAAAAACTGGGTGACTCTTATCTGAAGAATAAGTTTTTTCTGGAGATTTTAGTTAAGTTTTGCAATTGAAGGATTCGATAATAACTGGTCGCAGTGACGACTGATCGTTCATCAAGGTTAGATTGTAATAAGAAGCTTAAAATATATCGTGTATTTATTTAAACAGTGAGAGAATGTTGTTTTAAAAAAATAAAGCTTTCACAAACTCGTGTTCGTCGGAATTCACGTAAAACTGGGAGCATAGTAATATTGCGTAACTGTAATGTGTAATGTCAACCTACGCTTTGCGATGCTAATCCGCGACAGAATCTAATGGTCATCTATTATTAGAGGTAACTTTTTCTAGATATTTTTTACGAGAAATCGGAATTTCGTTTTAGATACAAACATTACAATGATAATAGAGTGCTAATACCTATTATTTACCCGAATCTTGGCCCGGCTTTAACCGAATTTTGCCACGCATCAGGTGCACGCAAGTAAGTACTATAAAATTAAGTTATCACTAGAAGTACCACCTCTAGTTCCCATCGTGCATCTATTGTAGGGCCAGGACAGTGATAGTGACAGTCAAACCATTCAGTGAGAAATGATAACTAAAAACTTTCAAAATCCAAAATCAAATTAATCAGCAGATTTAGGGGAAGTTCGAAGTAGACAAAGCTAAAGCTAAGCCGTTTGAAGAATGAAATATGCCTACTGTGATCGATTGAATTGAAAACGATTTGTCCAATAAATTGTGTCCAGGAAAATGCCCGGCCAATAGACTCGTTACCGTCCAAGGTTGGTCCTAGAAGTAGGTCAGTGAGAAAACGAATGCTAACTAATCGGTGCAAAACGGCGGATTCACGCTTTGGCTGCCACTGACGGCTACTGGCGGGCTTACGCTCCATCGGTTCTTGGCCTTTGTTTCTGTTACACATGAACTCAAATATACCCTGAGAATCTTCTAGAATGCTTTTAATTTGGGATTTAACCGGCGCGTTGCTGTCATTTGTTAACCTGCCGAGAATTGTAGATCGTCAAGGTAAAAATTCGCGTGTTGCGGTGCCAACTGCCACAATTAATAAACATAAAATCATTTAGCGCAGTGTAATTTAAATGCATCTTATTTTCTTTCCACCTTCTTTTCTGACGCGATTGACGATCGGAATTTAAATAAAATCCTAATTAAAAACTCTACATTTGTTACACTTTACGTGTAAGTACGAGTATATTTTTGGTTCCGAGCTTTAAACATCAGAGTTTATTGCTTGATAAATGGTTAACTACACGTGGAAGTGATATTTTTTGTTTCATGGTAGGGAACGTGCGTATTTTTTTTACTCCGATCTGTTATACCACGTCTATCAACGAGTAGGTACTTAGATAAAAACGTTTTTATTACAATGACATAAAAAATCTCGTTGAGACGCCACAAAACAAGTTTCGTGCTGAATGTGTAAATAGTCGCTCACTGTTACTCGTTTATTATTACCATAATGTTAAGGCCAAGGCCTCGACTCGCGGTTACGGGCAAACCATTCATTCATTCATTCATTCAATGGGCTACATCGTTATGTTTTCCAAAACAAAACCTTTTAGTTATATGAACAATGTTCAAATTAGTGCAACCATTCATGGCGACAAGAAAATCCTGTGGCAATAAAAACTTACAGATCGAAGTTGATCGCGGTTGATTTTTTGCGCTGGTCACGAATAAATTATGAAGTACATAGATGAAATATTGTGACCAAAGGTCTTTTAAGATATACTCATAACTATTCACAAATTAACTTTCAAAGTTTCGATCTTGTTTAGACAAGCCTCCTCCAACTTTTGTCAGTCGTTTATGGGTTATTTTAGCAACTTTTTTCCTGACTTAAAACGCACATCGCCCTTTATAATATGCGTATTTGAACGTGTAGTGGGTAAATTATTTACATTTTAATTACTCTAAAAATTAGGGGATAATAAGAGTAGGTTACCCATTGTAGGCTTAACGTGAACGTAAAAAAAACAGAAATCGATTTTCTTTGCTTCCTGTAATTAACTTGGTTAGACCAAATCATGTCGCAGCTTGAAACTAATAAGTTAGTAACTGACCCGCATGAGGCCTGCTGCGTATCCGATGGGTAATATAATGTGCAATTTACGCTGTGGTGTGGATTATACCACGACCGAGACCCGTATCTCCGGGGTTCCGTAGTCGACAAGGAACCCGGTCCGTCTACCCGTAGCATAGCCACTCATGAAAACTAAAAAGCTATAATTTAGCATTTGGTTGGACTCTACATATTAATCGCGACGAAGTTTTAAGGGTGACTTTTTTGTCGAACTCTATTCATAGATGTTCTTGCATACGTCAATATAAGTATACAGCCACATTTTCAGGGAGTTAAAACGAGATACAGAATATAAATAAAAAGCTAGTTTAATTATCAGTCGCACGCGTTAAAAAGAGCGCACTCTCCACCGGCGCCAGGCGGACGAAACTTTTCCACTCGCGTGAAACGCGTAAAATTGCAGCCCTCGTAATTTCCAGCTTATGAAGTGGGTACTAGTCGATTCTGATCCCAGTGTCCTTGGGAATAAGGCTATGCGGTGCAGTGCAGAGCAAGAATGTGGCCGCAGAGCAGCAGGGGGCAACGCACGGTCGCGGCCTCCAGACCGCCGCTAACTGTTCACGTTGCATTTTGAGATTTCATTCGATTCGGTAACGATAATCATAATTATGCTTGATTTGACTATCGATTTAGAAACGGGCTACCTACACAATATCGAATTACAAAATATCGAACACGTTTCATCGAACGATCAGAATATCGAACGATCAAAATATCGAATGCTCAAAATATCGAACGTTCAGAATATCGAATGATTAAAATATCGAAAGTCGATCTTACGTTGCATAGTATACTAGAAAGATGGAGGTAAGGGTTCCTTGTTGACTATGGTACCCAAAAGTGGGAAATAAATAAAATGTTTTAAGAATTTATGTTTTATTTACATTAATCGTATGACATTTACTTAAAACCTCTATGGGCCATTCTTAAATTTGTGCCAATTTTTTTTTAAAAATTAAAGATTTTTTTTTTAACTTTTTGCGATGTGTATGGAAAGTATAAACCAAAAGCATACTTTTGATGTATATGGACAACCTTAAAGCCCTCGGCAAGGAAACAAAATAGCCTACGTAAACACGGCTGTGACACTGCATGACACGGATGTGACAGTTTTACATTTTTACTGTAAATAATAATATTCATGTTGTTAAATTTATATCATAATAGTTTAAATTGATTAACAATAAAATACACTAAATTCGTTTCATCAACAAAGGTGTTATTTGGTAATATGTACTTTTTTCTGAACATCCAAAAATTTAATTAAAATTGAGATCAAAAATACCGTCAGGTAGTTAATATATCTACTAGATAATAAAAAAATAGACTTTTTATTACTGGCACTATCTGATCATGCTTCCGATATGCTACCTACGTGGTTTCGATATGATATGCTTAACAAATTAGTAAATCTTAAACACAGTACCTAATAAGTATCGAATGAGATTTCTGTAGGATTCACATAACAGTTGGTTTTGACAACTTAAACATGTTTCATAGTCACCGTACCACTAAAAATATGGTTAATAGCAATTTCTTTTAAAACAACTCCGACCACCTCTGCAGGGCCTTTACCGGGAGCTGTCTCAGTAAAATTTGATATTACTGCAGAAATTAGAAAGTGCAATAATTTTTCCTTCGTGGCATCTAGAAAATCATACTATCGAAAAATAAGTATACTTACTAAAAGGCTACTCCTAAAAATTGCACAATACACAAAATAATTTAGCAGAACAACAAAAACTATTAAAATAATAAAAATAGAATGTCACAACCACGCGTTGTAACGTCACGACCATGTACTTAAATAGTTTGCGGTAGTGACACATTTTTAATACCATGGCCGTGACAATTTGGAACGTGTCCGATATATCCAAAAAACTATCTGTGAATTAGCAGATCTTATGCAATTATCTGAAACTATACTGCATGAGGTATATAATTATGTTTCAAACAATAGCGTGACATTGATACCTACCTTTAAAAACCGTACACGCGATGGACGTGTTATGGTTGTCCCTTTTTTCAAATAAATAGGAAATAATTTT